TCCTTCACCCCTCCCCAGAACTTTACAGGACGAAATGGAGGAGCAAGGACTTGCATTAGCACACACCCAGACAAAAGACTTCTCTTTCTCCCTTGAATTAAGCACAGGCCAAATGAGATTTTCAGGGTAGAAAATAAAATCCAGCTGTGCTGAGCTCCCTCTGGGTGAGCTGCTCCCGCTGCCGCAGACAGGAGCACTGGGAGCACTGGGAGCACACCAGTACCCACCCGGGAGCACACGGGAGTGCTGCAGCCAGCACAGCCAGGAGCCAAAGGAACCCTGAAGGCCAGCGGGGATTCTGGATGTCTCCCCTCCTGCCTTCTGGCCAGCGCCTGGGTGGCAGCAGTCCCCGAGAGCTGCCCAGCACCCTGCTCAGCACCCAGCACCCTGCTCAGCACCCTGCTCAGCACCCAGCTGCTGCACGAGGGAAAGGCAGCGATGGTGAGGAAGCTTTCCACGGCAGGACTTGGGGGGAGGCTTGCAAAGCCACTGGATGCTCAAAGATGCACAAAGCAAACCTGGTGAGAAACAAATTCCCCAGTTCCCCCGAACTTCCACAGTACTTTCTTAGTTAAGCTGCGGAAGCAGTATCAAGGCAGGACTGGACAAATTTCTGGATTACACCACCAGTAGGAGCTATTAAATGGGATGGAATGGATGAACATTCCGGCTCAGGATCTCCCTGAAGCCAGCCCTCCTCATCCCGGGAGAGCGTTCCAGGGCAAAGGGCACTGGGGTCTGTCCCGACGCACCGGCAGTGGCGAGCGGTGTGGGAACAGAGGCCACAGGGCTCGCCTGATCTTTGACTCCGTAAGGCTGCTCTTTGGTAAATCCCTCTCAGCAGTTACACGCACCCTTAAGTCCCCAAACAGCCTTGGAAGTGTTGGCCTTTGTCCCTCTCTCCTCACACACAACATTTTGTGAAAAAGGCTGAGTCACAAATTAAAGAGGACAGATATCTGTGGTCTGACACCATGTGACTTGGAAGGCTAAAAAGGAAACTGAAATAACAGAACCTTGTTTCTTCAGCATCTGATAAGCATCCCGGATTTTAACTTCCTGAGGAAACCAGACTGTCCAACTGAATATTACTTCTGTGACTCTTGACTTGACTTTTTCTGAAGACCAGGTTCCATAGTACTGAAAACAAAACAGTAAAGACAAAAAATATTAAACCCAAAGAATTAGTGCCAGCTCTGGCACGTGGGTCTAGCCCCAAGTTGTTCGTGTGCAGGGACCAGGAGGCAAATGGACTCCAAAGGCTTTTTTTCAGCGTGTCTTGTGCTATAGGGGTGGTGTGTGCAGCTGTGGCTGTAAGTACAAAGAACACTAACAAGTACGTAAATGTTACATGACGAGCAAAATGAAACTATTTCAAAACTTTTCAGATCAGTTACTGAATCTGAAACCAAAAGCAGGCTGTTTTATTTGAGTGAAAACAGTTCTGTGCTTGACTTTAAATACTTCCCTTAACTGCCCACAATGCAGACAGCACCGCTGGCCCCAGCCAGACCCAGACAAATGGAAACTGAACAAAACCAGTAACAAAAGTTAATGTCTATTTTCAGCACCTGAATGTTTTCTCCGATTTCTCTCATTATTGCCTGCTAGCGCACTAAGGTATTATATAAACATCGGGAAGAATTATAAAAGCCACACACAAACCTCCAAGCCCAAGCATTTTAAGCTCATTAAATGATTAAATGTCAAAAAAAAGCAAACAGAACTCTCTGCACTGCTATGTTCTATAAACTTTGTTGTTTCACTGATACCTTTACCAACCCTGGGGCCGAGGGAAGAGGTTTTGCTGCTCGGTTAAACGTTTCTCCGAAATGAGCTTTTTGCGCCTCTGCCATGGAGGTGGTGTAATGGAAAAGGAGGCAGGTGCAAGCGGCAAATGTGCGCCAGACCCGCTGAGAAGGGGAATCGGCTGCTGGGTGTTTAAGGAAGGAGCGGGGTGTTTAAGGAAGCCCCAGGTGCTGTGTGACGGGGAGGAGCGAGGCGTGCAGAGCACGCAGCCTCCGATAAAACCCGTCGCCGTCCCCATCCCGAGAGGCGCTGCCAGGGCACCCGCTCTGAACTCCCAGCTCGCTCAGCTGCTCAGACACAACTTCTCATTTCTGCTGGCTGCTTCTCTCCCAGGAGGCAGCTCAGGACCGCGCTCAGAACCAAAGTGCTCCGCAGCAGGGAGTGGGAATGAACGTGCTGGATGATCCATTGCGCGGCCGGGAAGCGGAGCAGCAGGAGGGGACTCTGCAGCTCCCCGTTAGTTGGGCTGATCCCTTCCAGCCTGCCCGCCCTCCCTGCGAGGGCTGGGAGCCCTCTGCCCTCAGCAGGAGCCAGGGGTGGCGGGGCGAGGGCTGCGCGGGGGCTGCTGAGCCCCAGTCCTCTGCTGCTGCCCACGCCCGTCCCGCCCCACGAACGGGACCCAAACCCGGGGTAACCTCTGGCAGGAGAAAGCATGAAGGAGAGCAGCTGAAGCACGAGAGTTTGAGGACAGTAAGATAACGTGGGAGAGGCTCTGGGCAGCTCCTGGCATCTCCATCCTCTGCCACTTCCCAGACCAAAGTTCTGTACATCACCGAGAGGCAAAAGGGCCACAGGCTGAGGAACAATTTCAAGCTCCTTTAGAGTCCCTGACTGTCCCTGCAGAGTTGGGAGAAGCCACAAGAAAAAAAGCTTCTCATAGAAAGAGACCCCGACTTACATCTTTTACAGGGGGATTCACATCCAGTCCTTGTGCTTGGAGGCACAGAACCAATTCTACTCTACTTCTCTGTGTGATTAAATTGTGTTTTCACATCCAGTGCAAAACAAACAGTGAGTCCCACCTGCAACATCCAGTGTGGCCACAACCACCTACCTTTGGGGAAAGCACTTTAATCAGCTCATTCAGAAACCTGAATTTTGCTATTTCGTTGTGAAATCTTTCACCGCAGTTATTCACGCAGGTCTCTAGCACCTGCAGAAAACAAAACAGTACCAAACAAACTGCAAGACTTGGGGAATTTTTAAAAACTTTGCCGTTATAATACTAAATCTAAGAACTTTCTGGCACTGCATTCACAAATACAAGATACTAAGAAAGCTGTGCAGCGAAAATATGTATTTTTCCTTAATCCAACCTCCTTAAGCAGCACGTCTGTTTTACCCATCACTAATAACTTCTGGGCCACTGGCCCTGCAGTGCAACTACAGGTCAAACAGCAAGAGCTGCTGACCACTGAAGCACCTGGGCAGAGCGACAAGGGAAGGAACAACAGCAGTTATACCTTTATACCCTGGTTCCCATATCCCTTGTACAATGGAAAGTTAGAGGGGAAAGACATCGAAGAGAGGAAGAAGAGACAGCTCCACCGTCTCTACCCCCCGACTCCCCGTCCGGGCGGCAGCACTTACTGTGAGAGCATGGAGAGCCTCCATCTCCTGGGGCGACTGGATCTTGTGTGCCAGCAGCCTCGGCGCGAGCGACGGGCTGGGGAGGAGCAGGAGCAAGTCACGCAACACGCAAGTTCCCAAGAAAAACCATTTTTTGCCCTGCAGAGGAGAGCGACTGCCAGATTCACAGCGCGCTGCAGGCCAGACCCCCTCCTCGGGCAGAGCACCCGGGGCACACGCACACACCCAAGGGCGAGAGGTGGATTCCAGCGGGGGTGACCCGCAGAGCCCACAGCAGGAATCCTCGGCCAGGCTCCCGGGGGCTGGGGGCACAGCAGGCAGGACCCGCTGCCTCCCGGGCTGCAGCGGCGGGTGTCAGAGCCCGCTCCCAGACACCGACCTTGGCCCTGTCACCATACGCCTCCTCACAACTTACGCCCTCGGGAGCAGCAGAGCCCGGCGAGGGCTCCCCACCACCCCTCCAGGCTCCCCATGCCACAGCCGAGGGGTCCCATTGCCCCCCCGGCCCCGAGAGCAGCTCAGAGCAGCCCCAGCCCAGAGCCAACACAAAGAGCGTCTGTCTGCCTTACCCGGCTGCGTCAGCGTTCACCTGGTCACAGAACCGCTGGATGCATTCCCAGTTTTCCTCAGGGGTACTCGGGTCAGTGGCCTGATCTTACACAGGAAAAAAAGAAAGAAAAGCCAGCCTCGGCGCGAGAGGCGGCGAGTGAGCGGCACAAGGGAGCGGCTCAGACCTTGCGCTGCCACCAGCTGCTTTCGGGCTTTTTGTAAAAGATGGAAGACGCAGGACGAGCAGGAAACAGCTGTTACTAAAATCTGCCAAAAATTACAGTCCCGACTAAGCACTTTAAAGAGTCAAAGTCAGGCACAGACGGAGGCGTTGAAAGCAGCAACAGCGTGATGTTGCTTTGAGCACGAGAAGCTGTTAAAGAGCGTTTGCAGGCAGCTCTCCCGGGACGGGACTGCGAAGCCTGCCCTGCTGGAACCCAGGCACGGTTTCCCCTTTTGCAAAAGGGCTGCACGAGGGCCCATCCCAAAGCTGCCAGCACGGCTGAATTGAGGGAAGAGGGAAACGTCTTTTTTTGGCTTTACCCACTGCCCAGCCCAGCTCCAACAGCCTTGGCAGGACGGGGGCCAAGGAGGGGGGCCAAGGACGGGCGGGAGGGAGATGGGGAGCAGGAGAGGTGCAGGAGGTTAAGACAGCGCCCGTGAACGTCACCCTAAAGGGGCTCCGTGGAGGAGACAGACCCTTCCCCACGGAGCTGAAGCCACTCCGGTGCCCGCCCAGCTGGGGCCAGCTCTGGCCCCCGGCCCCCAGCCCCACTCACTGAGCCACCGCTCCAGCTCCCCGGCGCCGGCCATGGGCTCTCGCTCCGCTCCGCCCCGCCGCCCGCAGGAAGCGGATCCACCCGCCCGCGCCCCTTGCCTGCCGCCGCTCGCCCCCGTGGGAGCCCACGCGGGTTTTCGTGGGGTGGAAGCATACACTGGGGGCGTGGGCTGGCTCAGTAAAACACACACACACACCCCCAACACCCCTCCGGCTGCTCCTCCCCTCGCTGGCGTGCAGAGCGAGCACGCCTTGGCAAGAAAGGAATCAAAAGTCACCACATTAATTTAATAATTAAAAGGTCATCATCCAAAAGAGGAAAAAACATCCCAATCTCCCGGTTGGGGATATTTTTAGCAGGTCCACACGCGTGACACAGGACACAGTGGGGAGAATCCCCCACTCGGAGCAGCGCACGCCGCCCGGCAGGACGCTGGGGCAGCTGAGAGGGCAGCAGCTATCGTGCACAAATTATATATTTATATACAGAAAAATCCCCTCCCACGGTATTTGCTGGGGACCAGTGTAGGTGTAGGTGCCCTGACTGTGAAGCCCTCTCCGAAGAGGCCGATGGCTTGAGCCGAGCCACGCTGCTTTCAGAAGGAGCGTCCCTTTCTGTCCATGTGGTCTGAACTCAGATGAACGTCTTTCTCCCAGCCTGGAAACCAGGCTCTTGGCACGAGATGAGAACAGAAAGACGGACCTAAATCTGCGTTTGGTTCCTCTCGTGGACGAAGTGGCTCGTGCTTAGTGCAGATACATAGAGACCTGGAGGCATCTCGGTGACACTCGCCCGGTCTAAAGCCCAGCTCATCTGATCAAAGATAATCAAGCTGAGATCAAAAATACAGGTCTAGGACGACGACAAGTGCTGCCTACACCATCCGGGCCCGCAGGCTGGCTGTCAGCATCATTTCTGTCTCATATTAGCCAGAGAGGGCTTTGTGTATTCGTCCACACACTTCTTTGGGTCCCAGAGTCACCATCATCTCAGCAACGCTGGGCCCGTGCTGAAAACACAGAAGTCGTTGTACAAATGGAAAGTGACACTCTGCAGCACGAGTTTGTGCCTCAGCAGGGCGGAAATGAGAGAGGGATCGGCTATCAGATCACCGTTAGACCCAGGCTCAGGGTTTTATGAGCAAGCTCAAAACAAGGGTTTGGGGTTTTTTTGCCTCAAGTAAAATGCTAAGGATGGTCCAACTGAGGCTGAAGGACTGAGGCCGGAGTGTAAGCCAGGATTAGGCTTTGAAGAACTTTTGTAAAACTTGTTTCTGAACTTTATAAAAGCATATTGCACATAAAATCCCAGTTTTGCCCCAAACCTTGCCAAAACCCCCTAGAGCTGGCCCAGAGGTTTTTCTAACTCCAGATTTGTGACCAGCATATTCGTGCTTTGACAAGTTCTGCCGTTCTGAAACTTTCAGAGCAGCTTTTTCCTTCCAGAATTGCTGCGTATCAGCACGTTTGCTCATAACAGAAACCGACGTCAGTTCTTGTGAGATGTTCAAATACCAGCATCGTGTTATCAGAGAGAAGATAGGTGTTAAAAAAAAGAAGGTGGACCCAGCCCCAGAATTTTTATTTTTTACCTGCTGCCCACTGAGAGCCAAGCGAAGGAGCTGCATCATGCTGCTGTACTTGGTCTCTTTGGTTTGCTTCTGGAGGCTTCTCAGGTCTCTGTTCAACTCCTCCATGGTCAAACCAGCTGCCTGTCTCATCATAAGCCTTGAGGAAAGAAGGTGTCCTTACAGTCCAGGGACATACAAAACGCAGGATTCCTCCCCAGAAACGACTAACGACTCTGACAACTGCCAGCTACCTCAGACTGGTTTTGCAAAATCTTCTGGCAGGAGCAGGAGCAGGGTCAACCTGCCTGCCCTGCAGCCCCACCCCGGGCCAGGCCCTGCCTCTCCGGGGGCTCGGGACCCTCCCGGGCTGCTGCAGGACCCTCTGCCCCGCCACAACACATCTCCCACCTCCTGCAGCAGCACCAGCAGCAGAAAAAGCAAGCATCAAGTTTCAAGCACAAAATTATGCCAAGGACCTGGAAAACCGCCGGAAAAGCAGTAATTCTGGTTTCTTTTTTAATAATGTGATTTTTAGAGATGCGGGAACCATCACTGACCCTACTCAGCTGTAGGCAGCAGCAGCACTGTCCCTCCAGGACAGCGAGTATCCTGACATCTAAATTACACCACTTGGATTCAGGTACAACTCAGCTGGGACAAATGACTGAGGGCAACCAGCTTTACAGACAGCTGGAAATAGCAGCTCAATGTGCAGATACTGCCACCTCAGTTACTCCCAACACTGGTTTTCAGGGCTCATTTTAGTCCAGATGCGAGATCTGAACTGGAAAGGCGATTGACCTACCATCCTGCCTGGCTGCAAGGTGTGGAGTAGCAGAGGGACATGGGGCAGCAGTGAAATACCTCAGCAAAGCCCCCCAGAACTCACAGGCACCGAGGGACTCTGCCGTCCCGTGACGTTTCTGAGCAGAGCTGCAGACTGCTGGCCAGAAACAAAGAAATGGAAGCAGGAGAAGCTCTCCAGGGATAAGCTTTCCAGAAGCGACGGTGATTCCAGCTGGACACAAACAGGGTCCGTTCCAGAGACCCAGAAGTCTCACTACATTATCAACCTGACTGCACGTTGACCAAACCCACCCTGCTCTTCCCCAGCTGGGTGCCACGGCAGACAGGGAGCAGACAGGGAGACGAGGGGGGGAAACCTCCTGTGGGGAAACCCTGCTAACGCCACTGCTTCCCCTGCACCACGCCGGCACTCAAACTGCTGTGCTCGGTGATTTACAAAATCCAGATGTGACAGTTCTTGCTTGAGAGCCCTGATGTGAGCTTTCCCGCTGGCAAGCTGCCTTTCGGTTGAAAACACTGGATTTCTCACCAGTTATTAACTGCAGCACGTTCCAAAGTAGAGCAAATTAAGAACTACGAGCACGTCCAGCATCAGTGCAGCAGCCAGGAGCAATGCTCTGGGGTGGGCAGGTGGGTGTGTGCAGAGCTGGGGAGAGACACTTACCCTAAGACTAGTTTTCCTATTTCATCTACTTCTGCAGAAATAGTTTGTAGCTGCTCTCGGGACACCGAGGGCCTAACCCACAGGTAAGAATAATCAGACGACACCAGGTTCTTCAGGAGGCTTATGTGACCCTGGAGAGAGAAAGCAAAGCTGTCAAGGCTGAGGGTTAAGCTCTGGGGGAAGCAAAGTCATTCAGTCTGGACTTCACACACAGTTAAGGAGGGTCCAAACACACCACTGCCTTGGGAGCGTCAGCCACTGACGTTTAGGCGGCCGTTTGTCACCCCTGTAACCCGGCGGCGGGAGCGGAGCCGCGGCAGCACCCCGAGGCCGCAGGGGCTGACTCAGAGGCACCGGGGAAGCGGCTCACCACATCCACCCGCCGCCTCTCAGCAGACACTGGGAAGTCACGAGTCACCCGTGTGCCACAGCAAAGCCTTCATGCTGGGACGGTCGGGTCCCTTCCTGCCCCTGCAGAGGCTTTATCCTTCACAAGGAGCCCCCCCCAGTACTACAGCCGCGTCCCAGGGGCAGACTGGGAAGGGCCGGGCTCATCCTCCTCCCTGGCACCGGGAGGAGCCACAGTACCTCTGTGCCCATCCCAGCCGGCGCCCAGCCCTTAACTGAGGCTTCCCAGGGCTCCCAGTGCACAAACCCCACTGGTTTAACCGAGAGCTTCACCCTCTGCCAAGAGGCTGCTTTGTCTTTGTTCCCAAAGCATGGAGCAGCAGCAAAGCACAAGTGCCTTACGCTGCCGAGTCCACAAAAGCTAGAGGTGAGACATCCCCCAGCACGCGGGGCCGCAGGAGCTGGCCCTTCCCACCACAAGCCGGCCGCGTCCTGGGCTACGGGAGGAGGACTGTGGCTTGGAGGTTCTCACCACTCATCGAGACAAAGCCAGAGCTGACCTTAAGCAGCTCTGCGGACAGTCCTGCTCTGAGCGGGAGCCAGAGAGGTCTCCAAGACACATGTCACAATTCCGTGACTCACTTCCATGGCAGGGACACGTCCCCCCCTGGCCGAGGGAGCTCTCTGCTGGCTCGGCAAAGGACGGGTGAGCTTATGACTCTGCAAAGACCAAGATACTCCCCACACCCTTCCTACAGGTCTGCTAGCTCTACATCGGACTTCGGCAGTCGTGGTGCGGGCACCCACTTGGGCTGGTTGCCACCCGGCTGCCGAGCTTCCGAGCTGAGATCAAAGCAGCGCCCAGGAGTCAGCTGAGTCTTCAGCCCGGAATCCCACAAAACCTCAGCTCCCCAAATGGCAACACGACGCCATCACTGCTCATACTTTTCTCAGCAGGAGGACTCGCTCCATGTACTCCTTTTGTAGAACGTCTTGATCCACCTGTTGGTCCCCATAGACGTGCTCCACCAGCAACCGCAACTCTCTAATGAGCTCCTGCCGCAGCCCTTCGTCCTCAATGTGACGGGTGAGGTGAATCCTGGAACAAAGAAAACGGCTTTTGTACTGCTCTGGGTTAGACTGAATCGAATTGTCCCAACCGCGCAGCATTTACTAATGAAAACTCTAGAACTCTTAGAAAAGCAGCACTAAACCCCAGCCAGACACGGTACGGCAAAGCCTTTAGCTCTGACACGCAGTGACCAGGAGATGAGGGAACTCTCAGCAGCGCCACAGCGCCGCAGCACACGAGCGCGCTCACAGAAGCGCCTTCTGCAAGCGCTGCCTCTTTTTGGAGTTATTTTGAACCTCAGCTTAAGACCTTGCATCCTCCTGCTACACACCATCTGCCCAGGCTCTTGCAGCGCGCCCGGCACCAGTGTCCCAGCCCGGGACGGGAGAGGAGGCAGGAATGGTGTAAGCAGGAACTTGTACTTCGCTGTAGTGCAGCCAAAAAGCTGCTGTGCTGGGACCACGCTTGGCCTCATAAAGGAAATCGCCAAAGCCAAGCGCTAGGAATACATTCTCACTGATGTACAGGTTAACATCTTTATAGTCACCACCGATATTTATACCTGTTGAATTCTGGGAGGCTTTCGAGATCCAGGAGGGCAGAATGGGTTGTGATTCTGCCTGTTTCAAACTGCGAGATCAGCTCCTCCAGAGTCCTCCCCATCTGTTTCTCTGCAAAATGACCCAAAAAGGAAATAATACACATGGGCTCTCACACAGAGAGCCGGGCTCCCTGCGTCTCACCGTAAGCCTCAGGCGCAGGGCTGGGCAGCAGCACGCCCAGGGAAGAGGTGACCCAGGAGAGCAGCTTTCTGCAGCACGAACAGGGACGTACCCCAGCAAAGAGGAACGCGCGGGAAGATGCCCGCTCCCGAAGAGCAGGTGCTGCTGACTGCTGGCGAGGAGCTGGGACATTCTGCCTAGCCCTGCCACCTCCCTCCGTGGGACACCCCTGCCATCAGTCAGCCAAAAAGAAGGAATACGGCCAGGAGGCTCCACTGCCCAATAAAGGTTTCACTCCCAAGCAGATTTCCCGAAACACGAGTTAATTTGTGATCCCCACACAGCAAGAGCAACAAAAGGAGTCATGACTCAACTTCTCATTCAGGTTAAACGAGAAGTGTGACAGGCGTAATACATGACACTGCAATTATTAACCATAGAATACAAGTTTTCCCAAGAGTTCACAGACAGTTTCTCCACCTCGAGATGAATGTTGGCCCGAGTGGGAACCCATTAAGCAACAGACTCGATTTAAATGGCTGCCCAGAGGCAGAAAGGCTCCCACCGCTGTGGTACACAGCCCCGTCTTTCACAGGAGCTCTGCAGAAGCCCTGGTGGCATTTCAGTGACGGACCGGTCACACCTGACACCCATTTCCTGATCTTCCAAACACTGTCAGAGTTCCTGGCTATTAAAACGAACCCACCCCATTGCCCAGAGGCAGCATCAAGAAGTGTCCTAGCAGGCGCCAAGCCCGTTGTCGTTACCTGCAAACCCAGAGCCGCAGTTGGTTACGATGTCCAGGAGGGCCTCTGGCAAGAAGCCATCCCGAGCAAAGCTCTCCACAAAGATGTCCCCCTGCCTCTTCGACAGCTTGCCACCGTCTTTGTTGAGGAGCAGCGGGAGGTGACCAAACTGGGGGGGATCCCAGCCAAAGGCTTTGTAGAGAAGGAGGTGCTTGGACGTCGAAATCAGCCACTCAGTTCCCCGCAGAACGTGGGTGATGCCCATGTAATGGTCATCCACCACGTTTGCCAGGTGGTAAGTGGGGAAACCATCCCCCTTGAGAATCACCGGGTCACCTTCCACCTCGGCCACTTCGTGCCGGCTCCAGCCGTAGACCAGGTCCTGGAAGGGCTGCACTCCCCTCTCCAGGCGGAAGCGGACCACCCAGCCGAGGCCCCGTGCCACCTTCTCAGACACTTCCGCGGGCGTCAGGTGCCGACACCGGTTGTCGTATCTTTGAAAAAAGAAAACGAAGGTCTCAGTTCCACGCAGGCCATTTTCACATTCCCAAAACTCTAATTCGATCCCTGAATTTTAGCTGTAACCTGCCCACTACGCATCCAGTCAAACTCCCTCAGCCCTGGAGGTCGCTCCCCCAAGCCTTTAAGGGTCGCGCTGGCTTCACTCTCTGCGGGCAGCGAGATCACAATCCTGTTGCCACGTGTTTTCGCAAGCACCCAGGGGACAAGGGATCCCTACCGCGGGGTCTGCTGGCTCCGCAGAGCCTCCTTCTTCAGCAGTTCCAGGCGCTGAGGGGTGCAGAAGCAGCGGTACGCCGCCCCGCTCTCCAAAAGCGTATCGCTGGCTCTCCTGTACAGGTCAAGTCTCTGCGACTGCTGGTAGGGTCCAAAGGAACCACCACGGCGAGGACTCTCATCAGGGGGAATACCTGAAATAGCAGTATGACGGGACATAAAAACCCTGTAACAAGGCAGAGTGAAACCCACCATCAGAGCCCGCTGGATGAAGATGGAACAGCAAGGGTCCAGAGAGCATCTGAAGGCATTTTCTGTCCCAGGGCAGCCAGCCAAGGGCATCTGTCTAGCACAGGAGGCAGATTCCCTTGGACTCCGAAGATAAACAGCCCCCACGCTATCAGAATTCAGACTATTGTTTGTGGAGCAACGAGCAGGAAAAAAAACATCTGAACCTCGTAAATAGCTGAGCAGCTCTGAAACACTACCTAGAGCAAAATACAGTCTGGCGTGCGCACACAAAGCAGCACCCACCCTTTTTACAGGAAAGAACATTCAAACCACAAACACACAGTTGTGGCCTTAGCCAGTTATTTTACCTACTCTAAAGTTATTAACTCAACAGCAAAGTCCTCGTCCCTCAAAGCACACCTACTGTCCCTGTTTCGGCCGGGATAGAGTTAATTTTCTTCCCAGTAGCTGGTACAGCGCAGTGTTTTGGATTTAGGATGAGAATAACGTTGATAACACACCCATGTTTTCGACATTGCCGAGCAGTGTTTATACTAAGTCAAGGACTTCTCAGTTTCTCCCAGCACCCCACCAGCGAGGGGCTGGGGGCACAAGGAGCTGGGAGGGGCCGGGACAGCTGACCCAGACGGGCCAAAGGGACGTCCCAGACCCTGCGACGCCAGGGTCAGACATAACCTGGGGAAAGGCGGCCGGGGGCAGCTGCTGGGGAGCTGGCTGGGCATCGGGCGGCGAGCGGTGAGCAATCGCACTGCGCGTTACTTCTCCTCCTTTCCTTTTCTGCCCTGCTAAACTGTCTTTCTCTCAACCCACAAATTTTCCTCCCAATTTTTCTCTCCCAGTGCTCTCCCCGATCCCACTGGCGGGGGTCAGAGCGCGGGGCTGCGCGGTGTTAGCTGCCTGCTGGGTTAAACCACGACACCCACCCATGAACGGCAGCGCCTGCGGGTCGGGCTCTAACCTTATCACAGTTCTGTATTCCAAGATCATCACCCTCGCTTCTAGTTCTTAAGCTCAAAAAAGCAGCAGAGGATTCCAAATGAAAAGGGACACCTCCAGATCCCCTTTAGCAAATACTCTGGATACAAACGATTTATGAATTTACAGGGGGGTCTGTGAGCTCCAGCTTCAGACCCTTCCCTCACGTCTCTTGTGCACAACCTGTTCCAAACTGCACCTCAGGCCACTTCCACAGATTGGGATCGTTCTGCGTGTCAGACAACACGGCCAAGAGAAACCAAGCCTAACCAGTTATTTCTGTTATAAAACGTATTTCCAGGATTTTCCTGATGCCTAGCTGTAGAAATAACTACATTTCAACTAATTCACCATCTGAAACGCTCCACAGCTCGCTATCACGCAGAATACTCTCAATCTGGGTACTGTTAATCTCTAAAAAGAGAATCTTTCTGTGAGTTAAAAATGATGTCTGCAAATACCTGCCCAATCCAGCATATCTTCTATTCCTTCTGCAGCTCCAGGCACCACTCGGTTTTGATCTGTATCCTCCACTCTCAAAATAAAGGTCCCTTGATGTTTTTTGGCAAAAATATAATTGTACAGAGCAGTGCGAAGGCCACCCAGATGCAGGAATCCTGTTATCACAGGGAAACCAGAGATGATAACAATTAAGGCCAGGGTTTAAAGATGAGCAGGAAGGGCAGTGCTGCCTGTAATAAAAACAGGTACCAAGCGCTAACGGGGCGTGGGGGGCGTGCTGACTCTGGGGGGTCTTTGCTACGAAAATGAATCCCTGGTAACGGCCTCCTAAGCACGTGTTCCCCGAAGCGGCCCGGTACGTGCCAGGAGGCGCCATTTTCGTGTCTTTCCCAGGAGGGACCCCACAACTCCCCCGCTTCTTTCCGAAAGGGCACAACCTGCCGCAGCCGAGCGAAGCCGGGCCCCGCGGAGCGAGCAGGTACCCGGAGGAGCCCGGC